GGTTAAGGTACAATTTTCCAACATGGCGTCCAAGAACAACTCCTATAACTAATAGAAAAAAAAATCAAACGAAGGTGTATATAGACAGAGTCATTTCAGACCATCCTGAGAGGATTTTGAGCATGCCAAAGTGCTCCAGGTGAAATCTTTTTCTGGAAAGCAATGGTTACGGCTTTCATAGAGGGGCTGGAGGGGTGAAAGGGTGGTTGCTCGTGGTGAAACCGTTCAGAAGGAGCCAGAGGACCACAGACTGGGCCGGCGCGTGCAGTTGATGCACTAGGTCGATCTTTCCACCCAATGAAAGTGGTAAATGCGACGCAGTCTCCGCCCAAAGCATGGCGACCGTTTTGCCTTCCCCTCTGACCGTTAAAACGAACGTCACCATGGTTCCCCTCTGTGTGACACGAAAAAGGGAACTGAAATCGGACATACACGTCTGACAGATCAATTAACTACGTATACCACTTTTTAGGTTATGCTCTCTATTAAAGAAGGAAAAATCACTCGATCCTGATTCGTGTATCGTCGATTCGAAAGAAAGGTCGTTTAACAAGTTTAATGTTCAATACAGAGAAATTGCATTATATGTGTAAATACGTTTTTCAATGATACAATAATTTCAATTATTTAACATTTTTGCCAAAGTAGGAACTTTTTTTAGGGTAGGCGGTGCCCTGTGCATCGCGAGAAGTAGTATCGATTAGTGAGCCGCGCATGCGCACTCCTGACAATCGTTTTCCATCGAGTTCAGCGATTCTTTCGGCGCGACCTTAATTCCGGTTGAATTCTGGGTGATGATTATCGTGCAAAACACGGTTGCCTAACTGCGTGTGCTTTCCCAAGTGCCACCTGAGGAGCAAGTGTTACATAATCCTCTTTGGGTCAATTATTTACAAAGTAGAGCACAGACACGTCGTGCCTGTGCCTCTTTTACAGAATGAAGATAGCGAATCCTCGAATCCTCTAGATCTATCTATCCAGTTCCTTCTTTCAATCACTCGAAACGATGGTAAGAGTAATGTGTCAGATATACAGGGTTTCTTACCTAAAACAGATTACCTACTTATTTAAATATGTATCTCCTTCAGTTGTGATGACACAAAAAATATTTCATATGCAATTTGAACGATACCAAAGGACGAGTATGCTGCAAAGAATACTTTCGTCGGAGTTTTCAAGGTTACCGACGTTTTTTTGCGTATACATAAATGCACAGATATTAACATACATTCAGAGATGTATATAATATTACGATCTGGAAACGAGATTTTTCTGGTTCCGAGAAAATTACTAAATTCGATAATTCAAGAATATTTGAATTTTGTTACTAGACTGCGTATATTTACGCAAATGCATATTTTTTAAAATAGAAAATTGGTAATATAGTGGGACCTGGAGAAGAAATTTGTTTTATCTTCAGACGGTTTCAACCATGTGCTATTTATTTTGCATTTCTTTTTTTTTTTTTTTTCAGTTTTTCATATTTATTCTGTAAAATCCGATATTATTTACCGAATTTTCGAACAAATTTACGCAGAATGCGAAAAACGTTGGATAAAATATGCTTATAGTTTATTGTACCTACTTTAAATTATAGTCATAATCATGCCCAAGTAATAAAGGTTTTAAGTAATGAGGTAATAAGGTTTTATTATTACGGCATACATATCTTCTACTTTTTTACATACGTTGTTATATTTCTGCATAATTTCAAGTGTATAAATATTTTCAGCCTACTTATTATCAAGCCAGGTGCTCTCTATGGGAATTCAGATTTGCACCCAACAGTGTATACACACAATCACAAGTGTCTATAGGCGCAATGTCTCCTTTGAAGAATCGACAAATCAGCCAAACATGATTTTTCGTCTTAATTGTCGCTGTTTCCCTAGTCTCAACAGAAATATCCCTCCCGCGAACGCAAGGCAGAATTTTCTGCTAGGAGAGAAAAAAAAATGTGTGCAACAATGGTGAGAATTGAACGGACGTGAAGAGCGTTGTTTGAACGAGGCCAGAGAGTACCTACTCATTGGGTGGCTTCAGGGGACAGGATTTTTGGCTGTTCCAGCCGCGAGAGGCGGAGAACGAGACGTGGGAGGGCTCTGATAAGCCGCGAACGTCGGCCAACCGGGCAAACCCCGCCTCTGCGCGCCTCGAATCGCTCACGAAACGCAAAGCTCCCTCGCTCAGAACGCTCTCAATCAGTTTCAATCTCGGTTGGTTCTCCTCTCTGGCGCACGTTCTCGCCGCTGCTCCTACGGTTTTCACGCGCGAATGCGCGTACACACAGTGATAATAATCCACAATTGTTGCCCAAGTGTCCTCTCTATCGTCGTATCGACCAACGACTTCAGGCGACTTGTGATCGATCTTCTGCAAGCCCTGGACACTGTGAAAGATTCACATATCGATACCTGTGAGTGTTTTCATCGTTTCTCTAAATCAGATTTTTCAAGCTTCCACGGCACCCCGGATTCTTTAAATTGTTATTCGACGTTTCTCCAACATTGCAGTTAACTTCGTCAGGGTACAGAGACACACCGATAATGTATGGTCGTTTTCGATTTGTGCTTATGCTTGTTTGTGCTCGTTGGCTGACCAAAAAGGCGTTTCCTTTAAGTGGTCACTGTTTTACACTTTTTGTCGTTTTTGATGATCTGAAAGGTGGTATACTGGGAAGGTTGGAAAATGTGGCAGATCTATAGTCTGTAGGTAGTGTTTTGATTCTTCTTGAGATTGCAAGGTATTCAGTGGTATTTGGGGGTACTGGTGACAAGTGATAGATGATTCTGAGTATTTGTTAAGGGTGGCAAGTTCTTGCTTCCACAGAGATTTTCCTTCGATGTAACAATAAGTTTCGTGGTTAATATGCAGAGGTGTTCGTAAGAGATTACAATTAATTTCGTAAGTGATGTTTGTATTATTAGAAGCATTTAGAGACTTGTTTATAGGGTCCAGGATAAATGAAACATTCGACACTTTCAAGTGCATTTCGATAGCACTTCGATAGTCTGTAGAACTTCTACCGTTAATTGTTTCTCTTTTTTTTTCAAAATTAAGTTCTTCCATTTAGCATTCCAGGGTGATCATTTCAGTTCTGCTGAATCAATACAACAGAGGCAATTCTTCTTCGTCAATATTTATCCTTTCGTCCAGAATTCTTGATGAAAAATTGCTTAAAAAGTGATTACTTTTCGCTGATTTAATATTGCGGAGTTCCAGTCTCGATTTTCCCAAATTTTCAGTCAAACAAATTAGGTCAAATGTCACATGTCCATTGTCCACAGATATTCTTTCTAATCCTTTCGACAGCGTTTCATTTTTCTTCATTTTCATCTCTAAAGCAACTCACAATGTGACTTCTGCTCCAAATCTTTCAAATGTATCCAAAATCCTCTCCACATGGTCCAAAACGTGTTCACCGAATTACCTAAAGACGTCCATTTTTCCCAAAATTCGAAGTGTTTGAACCGTCATAAATCCATTTTTGCGTGTCTGGAATAATCTCTAAAATCCTTTCCCCACGATCAAAATCCGTCTTTTCCGTAATATCTGTTAAATCTCCTAAAAATCTGAATGTTTTTCGAAGTTCCGACAGTACAAACTGTCTGAAAAGTTTCCCGTACATTAGAAAAATTGTCATTTCTTCGGCAATTGTTCGTAGAACTCGAGAAATCTGTCGTCTCGTTGATCTGGCGTCGCCGTCGGACATCGATCACATCGTTATTTAGTACGTTGTGTGTAAAGTTCACGGCTTCCTCGAACGAATCCTGGACCATCCTGAATCCGCCGTTCAGCCAGCAAGCCCGATAAAACGTGATAGAACGTTGGAAAACGGATGAATGGCGTAGAGTTTACTATAAAGCGGCACGCGAGCAAGCTGGACGTGAAAAAAAGGCGGCACGAATTCGTGGCAGTATTGTTATTTAAATATCTAAAAGGCTCGTTCCGGCCAGGAGACGACGACGGAGTTTGTAAACTTGGAGATTTCTATGAACTCTAGACGCGGTGTTTAGTAAACAACCAGATAAATGGCTCTTCCTTCTGCCAGAAGAGATAACAGCTTCTCCTAATTACGTCAAAACTGCTGTCTTCACCTCCGTGTCTCCTCTTTTCTCCATAAATCAAACATCAATTAACACAACCAAGGATGCTCGAGCAATTTCAACAATGAGATTAATCGATCGTCAATTCAAATTCAACGCTCTTCTTTTGCCTTCTCTTTCGGTTATCCATTCGAATTTTTCGTAATTATTCTTCAGTTGAGAAAGATCGATTCGAAGCTTGTGAGAGTGCTTGATGCAGTAGTATCAGATTGTATAATCTTTGAAAAAAAGTGGGACAGTATTAACAGCAAAGCACCGATGGGAATTGAATTGTTCAAAGCATGTAGGCATGTTGCCACTGTGGAGGGGATTTTGAGGGCAGTGTGGAAGTTTGAAAGTTCAGAGAAATGGTCATTTAGGAAAAGGAGAAGAAAATTCTGAGGGATTTCGTTGTGAATTAACGAGTGTTTCTCATTGTGTACAGAGATGAATTTGATAAAGAGAGAAGTTCAAGAATTCATTCTAAATTGGAGGTAAAAGAAAAAATTACCCAAGGATCCTCGGACGAAGATTTAATTTGCACCTTCGAGGATTTTCCTTTTCCCCCTCTAACTGCTTCAAGGATCTTGAAACAAAGAGCAGACGAGTTCCGATTTAATTTCGATCCTCGAGGATTCACAGTCGTAAAGTTCGATCATAAAAGAGAAGCCAAAGGTTGAAAAAAAATCAACACCTCTAAATTTCATAGACCTCTCGTTTTTAGTATTTACTCAGTTCCATTCGTGATATCTCGATGATTAAGACAAAACATTCGCATCCAGAGTGGCAATTTTCGAGATTGCACGCGGGAACACGATAATATCCAACTAATGAGCTAAGAATCGCAGATAAAGAGGCACGAAGCGTCACTTAACGCGCGTTCACGCTGAAAATAGACGTGTTTGACGGGCCGCGTACACCCTCTTATTGTCGAAATTTACGAGATCTATCGGTGGAGGATCCTTCTGTGCGCCGCCGGCCGCCGGAAGTCTCAACGGCTCCCTTGAGACGTGGTCCCTTTCCTCTAAGTGCTCAGCTGTTGCTCGCTCGTCAACGATCCCTTTCCAAACGGAAAGTCGAACTCCTTGTTCGCTTTCTGCTTCTAAACACGAGTATACACATTCACGTTTGGGAAACCGCTGCAACGCTCTTTGCTACCTTCTCTCTCCATTTGTCACGAACTTCAGTTCCGGTTCTTTCCACGTCCAGTAGCTGGGAAAAGTCGTTGAAATAGCTCGATAAAAATTCTTCGATTTTATAGAGACCTAGTTTCGAGCAACAGGAGGTTTCTGTCTTCTGTAGCGTTGTTCGTTGAAGACTACCTATATGAGCAGTTTCTGTGTTATTCATCGGTGCTTCGACCAGCAGAGGATTTGTTGGACCTTTTAGACGCGACGAAGGTAGATCGAGAAGGTTTCAAGAGTGTTGAACACCTGTTTCCATGTTGTTTGCTCGACTGTTGGTGATTGCGAGATGTTTGTTTTGTTCGTTTTGACAGTGATCGCTTGGGGAGATGTTTGGAGTCGTTGAAAGAAACATTTCTGTGTTTGTTGTCGACTAATAAAGGAACACAAGCTTTCTCAATTTTTTTTCTTTTATACGAGATCGGTTTAACAGGGTTTCTACAATGTTTCAGAGCTAGTTTTTTTCAGCTATTTTGTAAAACGGGAAAGGCAAATTCTTCGAAAGTTAATTTCCATATTACAAATATCGAATCTTTGAAAATGTGTTAAAAAGGAACAATTCATTCTCTGTTACAGGATCATATCGGTCAAGTTCGAAGATCTTCAACTTCGTCCACTCGATGCTCCTCCTGGTGTATCAAAGCACCCTCTATTTGAAGATGTAACCTCAAGAATCAACGGTGTAGCCTAGTGATCAGTGAGCAATTTTGCTATACAGTTCGAACGAATCTAAAGTGTCAGTGTCTTTCGAGAGCCTCGAACAAAAAAAAAAGTTAAAACGCATTGAAATCGATCAGTGTTGAACAGTGGAGGGCTTGCCCGCCTATTGGGAGGACCTAGCCTTGCAGCATAGTGTAAATGCAGCTGCAACGGCCAGCATTTTTATGAATTACGACCTGGATAAGCCAAGGATGGTCTCACATATCATTCCCGTCGCTGGGGTAAGTACCAATCCTGATGTTTTCTACCTGAGACCGTGGAGAGCCATGGAGAACCGTAACTAGGTAATTCAATGTCATTTTACAATTTCTCCAAATTTTTCGTTTTAATTGTGAGCCATGTATTTGGACATTTTATGAATTTGAAACTGTACTAAGGGACTCAGAAGTTCGTTAAAAAATGTAAGACCATTTGTCGTGCGCTTGTGTAGAATTTTAGGATTTTTTCAACACACTAACGGATACAGAGGTTCGTTGAAAAATTCAAGACCATACGGATTTCGTAAATTTTTCAATGTTATTCCTGAAGTCAAGTTGGTCAGATAAATAGAGGATCGTCTGCTACAGGATTGAACATAATCCTACGACACTTTCCACATCATCAGAGACAACTGAAAAATTTCACAGCATTTTATGATTTCTTCAATCTCCACTGCAAGGTGAAGAATCTTCAATCTCACAGTGAAATGTTATTCTAAGACCATTTCGGACACGTAGGTTCGTTCGATAGCTTCAAGATCGTACACTTCCAGCCGATTTTTCT